GACACACAAAATCCTGATATTTGGGCTTATAATACTCATAAATGGGCTTTGGGCTTAACCAATTTTAAACTAAATGGGCTTTGGGTATATTCATTCGGTTTAATTTCGAATACAATCTTTCCAAACCCTCGGACTTAACCAATTTTAAACTAAATACCAATCGTGGCCAGATTTCAGCTACAATTCAAATTAATCAAGTTAACCAAAATTCACGCGAATATAAACAAAATGCCCAAGAATTAATTACACGTAAAAAATCAAACGTACCATATACATATATATTATATGATTGGACCTAAACCCGAACCGAACTTTTCGGTTGGTTTTGTTTAGTTCAATTTGGAATCTCCGATGTATATAGATTATAGACGATGCTTTTTTTTTTTTGTCTAGTAGAAATTTAGTAAATACATGCTTTTTGTATGTATGAATTGTAGCTATCAACACTGAATGAATCTGGCAAGTCGACTCAACCCACAATAGAGATCGCAATGTCTAGCATGTACTAGCCGTGGAACAACTATTCACCACGAGGAGATTTTTTTTAACGTGAGGGTAAGCCTATCGATGACTTGGGGAGAAGTCGTCTTGGCTATTTTTCAGAATATATGGAATACTCGGTTTATAACTTTTATATTTTTAACTAACGTTTTCTATTCATTTATCTTGATAACTTAAATTAATATTCTTAAGTTTCGTTTGATTTGCAGAGCTATGGAGGAAAAATTGCTGAAATTTTTTATTTGAAAATTAATTTGGAGAATGAGGTAATTAATTATGAATTTTAACATCCTTAATCATTTGGTTACTAATTTTATTGTTAGTATGCAAATTTGTTGAAGCATGTATTCTATTTTGACAAGGAGATAGTTTGAAAGCAATTTTTTTTTCACTAAATGATCTCACCTTTTAAATTGAATTAGACCTATGCATGTACATGAATCATGATACAATGTGCATATAACTTTATAAAATATTATTTTTAGATACAATTAAAATGCAGATATTTATTTCAATATAAAAAGAAAATTTGATTTCTACTTTCACAGAATGCTTATGAATATTTAGAATTATTTAAATCCATAATATCATTAGCATAAGAAAACATTAAAAGAAAACCTTAGTTGTTGATAACAGAAAAATGGAAAAAAGATTCTAAATATAAACGAATTCACTATATAATGTAAGCTAGACGTGTGTTATTCAATATTAACGTGAGTTAGGCGTAGGTTATTAGGATTTCAAGAATAATAAATTGGTTTTTGGGCTCCCAATGTTCTAATTAATAATAGTCATAGGAATATATTTTCGTGTAAACATTTAATATTTTTGTGTATAGAATTAATAAGAATATAATAGGCTAAGTAATTATGATTAGTGGGCTATTTTCATGTCATATTTTATCAATGCCATGTCATAATAAAAATGGGAGAATGATTCTAGAGAGTACACTAAGTTAATCACTTCTCTATTAATATATAAGGGATATAAACTTCACGATGTATCGTTTTTACACTTTAATGAAGGATAATCCAATATACTAAAACACAGAACACAAAAATTAATACAATAAAGAGAAAAGCTCGATGACTATTCGATAGATCATAGATTCATAAGTCTATTTTGACACTGTAATCAAAGAATCGATTACACAAGTAAAATTGGCTAATGTTCTTCTGGACATGAAAAGAGTCGTCGAGTCGACAACATTTATCATTAAACAGAGCTATAAGAAGGCCAAATGGGAAGGATCCTTTCGTTCACAACAACAGTGAAAATTTGGTGGATCATCCAATGTGAAGAAATAAATCAAATAATAGTTAGTGTGTTTGCCATTGAAATGTCTCTAAAACGCAGATAGACTATAGTAATTCATCCTTGTAAGGTCAAATATTCATTCAGGAAGAAAACTGCTAGACACTCCTCATGAAGCTTCTTGGTTGATCCACTTCCTATAAACTTTTAATTATAGTCGCAAACTACACATACCAAAACCATTACAACCTGTTTCATCATCTTCGCCTGCAAAAACATAAAAAAAAAATATGCATGTCAAATCCCTAACCGATACAACTTTCGATTGTTTTTTACTTGGAAACCCATAAACGGAACAAAAGAAATAATTTTTCTTTTCTTTTGCGTATTTTGATAAAATGACTCGCGATGCAAACTTCGATTGTTTTTGATTTGGAAGCCCATAAACGGAACAAAAAAAAGA